TGCAGCGAAGGATTGCTGTGACATGACATGTAATTTTGTTCGTATTTCACGCCCGAACATAATAATAATTGTTAATAAGTTGACTGACCATTGGAATTCGGCGTACGTCTCAACCGAGCCTTGAGAATGTACAATTTGTTGTTAATATCGCCTCCCTCCTCCGCCATTACTCGCAAAGCTTTCTTGATAATTTGTACATAGCGCTCTGCTTTCCAATTCGTGGTGGTATGCTGCAAATGTTTTCTGTGTAATCCCATTGTTCTTCAAGAATCTTTGAAAATCCTGGGACACGAATTGCCGACCGTTATCGGATTTTAATGTGCACGGAGATCTGCAAGTAGCAAATGTTTCTGACAACTTTTTAATACACCAATTACTCGTGGTTGTTTTCGTAGGTATGATACCAGTCCATTTTGAATAAGCGTCCACTAGGATGAGTAAATAGTAGCCTCCGGTTGGACCTGCGAAGTCGATGTGAACTCTTTGCCATACCTCAGTAGGATATTCCCAATGATGTAATGGAGCTTTTGCTGGTTCGTTCTGTTGTAATCGACACGCTCTGCAAGACATTACTATATTCTCGATATCTTGGTTGATGTTCTTCCAGTAAACAAAACTACGAGCCAGCAGTTTCATCTTCAACATCCCAGTATCAAATTCCATTTGTAATTTCTTAGAATTGATCAAAATGGTAATCATATATTTATTTCTGCCAAATTGTCATCATTTAAGGAACTTGTTGATTCATGTACTTGGTGAGTATTTATATTACGTTGTAAGCAGATTTTCGAAATGTGTCCTTTCTTTTTACATGTTGAGCAAGTGGCATTTACCATTTTACAATCATTTGCTCGATGTTGCATGTCCCCACACCGGAAACATTTCCCTCTCAATTCCCTTATTGTAATAGGGAATGAGGTTGTCTGTTTTGCATTGTACTTTCGAATCGGTTTTTGGTTAAAAGTTGAAATATTATAAATATTGTCTGTGTTTACTCGTACGTCTCTGGATATGTAACTGTTATCAGTTTTGCCTTGTACCATTGCCGCTGCAGTCTGAATTAATTTAGAAAATGATATTGTGTTTCTGTCTTAAAGCAATTTTGTGCTTACATCACCATCTTTCAGACCTCGAATTAATTGCAAGCATAAAAAAATCAGCAATTGATTTGCTACTATAGCTACTATATTTGCATTAAGCCACAATTAGAAGAAAGTTTTCTTAGTTCTGAAGCGTAGTTTGTTACGGTTTCTTGTTGTTGTTGTAAACGAAAAATAAATTCATGTTATAGGGTCCAGATACTAGATTTGGACTCCAAATATTCTTCATCTAATAATTGTGTTATTACGTCAAAGTTTTTGTTGACTGGATCATCTGGAGAACAGAGATCATAAATTTTTTCATGTAGTTCTGTAGGTAGCGTTGAGATCAAAACATACAATTTGCGTTTGGAATCAGTAATATTGTTAAGTAGGAAATATACATTTAACCTTTTGAGAAAATTTTGGAAGGATTACTTTTCTTGTGACGGAATAAGGAAATTTATTTTCTGGAGTTACTCGTGTATTTGGCGGGTTGTTTGCAGTACGAAAAGGTTTCAAAATTAAACATAAGGTGGCTTTTATCTTTGTTTAGAAGTTTACAAAATCAAACCTGTAATTTATTTCGTCTTCTAAATTTTCGTCATCTATGAGATTTTTGATGTTTTCTTGTAGGTTACTAAATTATGTGATCGTATCTTCAATGTAATGTAGTCTCGTGTTTATTTCGTCTTCAGATAAATTTTGATGTGTTTGTAAATAATATTCAATTTTTGTAAGGACAACCCGTACACAGGCGCGTGCTCTTATTATTTTTCTAATATTATCGGAAGACATCCTCGTCATACATTTTATTTATTAGAAATTAAGTGACATTCTAATATCAACCATAACTAAGTAACGTCATCACAGCCCAAAGAGAATATATATGACACTTTGTACTAATAAAAGTATGTTGTTTCATATCATAGTTGCCTGCTATGTGAAGGGGTGGCGCTGCCTAGTAGCCCAGCATATACTAGGGGAAACTCGTCACGTCCGTATAGCCACGATATAGCGGTCGGTGCATACGTCTGGATAGTAAATGACACCGGCCCGACTCCAGCCGATTTTTTTTATATAGCCAGGTAGCCTACACCACCTGATGTTCAGTGGTGATAAAGTCCAAACGCGAAGATAGCTGGTACAGCAGTTACAAACTACCACACCAACCATCCTCACCTTGCCGGCCTGAATTGCCCGATTTGCAGAAAAGTTGACTTCTTTGTAGTAAAAGTTTTGTTAAACTTAAAAATGTAGTAAGTTTAATTCTCAAAATAAAAGAATGCTACCGGGACACTAATGGTCGTGTCGACTTTCCTCTAAAATTTCATGGGCTGTAAGACAGCGCCATCTCTTCGCAATGTAGGTAACCTACAATGTCGAACGAAAGCCGACCTAAAATATAATTTTCATACGAATTACCTAACCTCACCAGACATTAAGTATAAATGGAGTCTATTCGCGAAGAAATCAGTACCCTTAGTACGAGTTTGAGCTCACGAAAACTATCATAGTTTTCGTAATTGTAAATTATGTTTCTAAGCCCATTTTGGTGAAAAGTAACCAAATATACTTAAAATTTCAGAAGACGCAAATAATTTAATGATAGAATTTAAACACTGTTTATATTTTGTATTGAAACGAAAACAATAAAATCAGTACCCTTAGTACGAGTGCGAGCTCACGAAAACTATCATAGTTTTAGTAATTCTAAAACTCGTACTAAGGGTACTGATCGAATGCGATACAAAAGTGTACAGTACCCCTAGCACGAACCATTATCGAATTCGAATAGTTTGCGAGTCCGAAATGTCATTGTCAAATTTGGTATGGAAATTTGAACAGCACCGCTAAGACGGACGTAACGCGAACTAAAAATCAGTACACATTTGAGAATGACATTTCGGGCTCGCAAACGTTACGAATTCGATATTGCTTCGTGCTAAGGGTACTGCTCCAGTCATTCATACCCTCTACGTCTCACCTAAGCCTAGGGACTTTCGACAGAGTAGGCTCTGGGGAGTCTTAAAACCTTGCTATCCAACAGAAACACGAAATGTAGGTATAAATAAATAAATGTTTCCAACACTCACACCAATTAGCCTATCAAAGTAAGCACTGTAAGCTTGTGTTAGGTGATACTACGGTAACGGATGGAATACATATATAGGTATTTTTATATAGAAACTAGTGGCCCGCCCTCGCTTCGCTTCGGTGTAGAGCTGTAGTGACTATAGTTTTTGTTCTCAGGGTTGTATTATACATAATGACATTCTTCTAATACCTAATTACAATAGGCACGCGCCGCCAGGCCCCTCTATACATATGAACCTTCCTCTGAGAGTGATCTATCTATTAAAAAAACCGCATCAAAATCCGTTGCGTATTTTAAAGATCTAAGCATACATAGGGACAGACAGCGGGAAGCGACTTTGCTGTATACTACGTAGTGATACATATTCAAAATCCACGATTGGAGTACAAAATATGCTCGTATTCATCACACAAACATCTGCCCTCACCGGCGTTCAAACCACTCGGCCACGGAGGTCGGTAAAGAGTAATTTGCAGGATTGCTACCATGTTATTTATCAGTTACTTCGTCAAAATTCTGATCTTCAACAAGCAGGTAAAATCGTTGATTCAGTAGAATTAAGCTCATCGCGGGCAGCGTGGGTTCGATTCCCATACGAGTAAGGACTTTTTTATAATAATTTTAGAAGTCTCACTTTCAATGAGGTTACTTGTAACCGCACCAATTTTAATCCCTTTCAATATTTATTACGTTTATTTTGATTTTGTATTTCATGAGAACGAAAACTAGACTCCGTCAGTGTGAACTCTAGTTACTTGTAGAAGTCGAAATAGACTAGAATAAAAAGTCCACACACTATGATATATACAACACAGGTAACGCATTCAATGTTTTTCCTGTATATTGAAGTCGAACAAGAAAATCCAGGCGATTTAACATAATCTCGAGGATTTTTGTCCAAATTCGATTTATCAAATCGTCCTACGACATATACAACACTAGCGGCCCGCCCTCGCTTCGCTTCGGTGTATACCTGAAGTGTAGACTACAGTTTTTGTTCTCAGGCTTGTATTATACACAATGACTTCTTATGCCTGCATGCAAAGTCTCAGCCCGATCGGTTTAAAATTGACAAAGTTTCATACAAACTTTCATTCCCTATTTTATCCCCTTGGGGGTAGAATTGATCAAAATCCTTTCTTAGCGGATGCCTACGCCATAACATCTACCTGCATGCCAAATTTCAGCCCGATCCGTCCAGTGGTTTGGGCTGTGCGTTGATCACTATGTCAGTCAGTCAGTCACCTTTGAGATTTATACCTATATATATAGATAGATTGCCTAGTTCACATAATTTTCAGCTCAAGCATATTTCGATCAAATGTATTCTAACCTTTCAACCAACTTTTATATCGTTTTTAAAAAGGACGCTCATTAAAATCTAAAGAAAATTTTACTAGGAAAAATTTCACGCGGAGCAGGCAGCAGACGGGTGGCCCTATTTGGGGCGTTAGGGCCCTGCTTAATTCATCGTGCCCAAAGGCTGGCTGAAATGAGCAAGGAGTTCCACATACCTTCTTCTCGCTCCCACGGTGGTTGAAGGATGCGTAAGGCATCTTCAGAGAAAAAAAAAGGCAGCAGACGGGACTCGAACCCGCACCCTTCGCTATCCATTATGCTACCGCGGCCCTGATGGCCGTGTCGAATTCCCTCTAGCACTACAAGATCTTAAAATATCTAGCAGTTAAATGTTCAAAGAAAATTTATTTAGCAGTACATAAGTATCTTTATATAGCAAAGGGTAGGTTCATTCTGTTGGCTACAAATCTTATTAGGATAAGACGAGGAAGCCATAATGGAGCGATCGCCGCGAAGCATTGCAGCTGTGACCTGAGTGGCCGCTGGCTGACTGGTGAGTACCATAAACAGTATAGATATTCTGTAAGATACAATTTCACTTACGATCTCATTGACAAATATATTCACGGGATTACATTAACATGAGAAAACAATCTAAGTACATAATAGGGGTGATGACGGGGTACAGTAAACGAAATTCTATTTAGTCCGTCAGTTAGATGATCAAAAAATAATGGACACATATTTTTTCTTTGTGCAATCAACCAAAAAATTACAAAGTTATAGCGCGTCAAAGTTTGGGAGTAGGGGCTCGTGACGTCACTTTTGAGTGAATTTTCACTTATAAGTGTACTCAAACGTGACGTCATGCGACTTTTCAAATCAATATATCTCTGCAAAGCTTATGTTATGTGAAAAAAGAAAAAATACGTGTCCAATACTTTTTGATAATCTACCTGATAAACGAAGAAAAAAAATAGTCATCATCCCTATTACTCTATATTTATATATATATATATATTCTAGAACAATAAAACTTAAACTAAGAACCTTAAAAAATAAAATTAATAACTAAAATATATTATTAAAAGGAGTCCCTTTCGAGGATCCGAAGATACTGGCAGCGTTACCCCTTTGAATGGCTAGACTAATTCTTTGTCCGAGGTAGCTGCCAGCTCTTCGGTCTACTGTGATGTCGACTAACCTTTTTGCTATTTCCTTAAATAGCGTTAAAGCGCTAGGACCCCACGGACCAAGGGTCTCGACACCGAATTATATTCGGAGCCTAGACCCTTAGATTAAAACAAAAAGGGTAGATACGACACTAGCCTCACAAAAGTGATCCGCATGAATTGTGGTCCACGACCCTAATCGTCACAACTTGACATGCAAACGACGTACATGTAAACGCCAAAAAGAAATATTGCTAATATTTTGTGTTTATATGATAAAACAATGCCTAAGTGTGTTTTTAAAAAGTGCTCAAATTGCTCAAAAACTTAAAATAAAACTCACGGCATCGCTTTTCATTCGTAAGTACTATAATAGTTATTTATTATACAAGAGTGGAAAGTTCCTTTTTAACCGCGTGCTCGATTTGGATGACCGAGCAAGCGAAGGATTCTAAAGTTGAATCACGAGCGCAGCGAGTGATTCCAAATTAGAATCCTGAGCGTCAGCGAGGGAAACAAACGAGCACAAGGTGAAAAATCTTTCCACTCGAGTGCAATACGTAACTTTTCATCCCACCTCAGCGAGGAAATGACAAAATGAAAAAGAAAACAATTTATAATGACAAAATATTTAAGCAATAAAACGTGAAAAACTAGAATGGCGCGAAGCACGCAAATAAAACAAAGAAACCAAGAAGGTTCCAAATTTAAATTTTTTCACAATTTAAAAAGGTCTAATCATAAATTTGGCACCATAGAGGTTACATTAAATAGGTTTAATGACGTTTTGAATTTACAATTATATTGAGTACTCATTATATGTGATGTTCTAAATTCAAATCTACTTTGCCGCTCAAGCGAATAAAATAGAATTTTCCAGCCAGATTTCGAAGCGCAAAATTACACTTTCCGAGGTGGTGGGATGAAAAATATATTTTTTCATAAAAATTGCTGTTTGCTTTAAATCTTATTCGGTAGTGACGTCGAGTACTGGTCGCGTGATTGGTCGGTAGTGCAGTGACGCGGATCTCGCCGTCTCGTTCGCGCTGCCGTGGGATCAGTTTTTTTTTGATGCAAGTATGAGCGTACCGTATCTACCTTTTTTTGTTTTAATCTAAGCCTAGACCCCTGTATTTGCTTGCTTTTGCTTTTTCGGCCGCTTCACAAGCCGCACCAGCTCTGTTGTTGGTTCCATTCATTTATTCGGATTTCTGACAAATGTCAAATATATTTTGTTTCTTAGGTTTTCACGCACACGTTAAAAAACAAGCTTCAATGGTATAGATTTATTTTATTGGAAAATTATAATTTTTGACAACGCAGCCTGAAAAAGATGCGAAATGTCAAAAATAAATAAATCAGTGCTTCTATACCGTTGATCGAGGAGCTCGATGGCGCAACTGGTTAGCGCGTTCGGCTGCGATCGTTGAAGTTAAGCAACTTTCCCAGTGGTCGGTCATTGGATGGGTGATCAAAAAATTTACTATCTCGAGCTCCTCCGTTCTTCGGAAGGCACGTTAAGCCGTTGGTCCCGGTTGCATCTGCAGTCGTTAGCACCCACCAATCCGCACTGGAATCGCCGTGTAATGGCGTTATGATATGTGTAAAATGGCAGCTACCGAAATCGGAAGTGAGATTTTATTGATGACCTCCGTGGCCGAGTGGTTTGTACGCCGGGTTTCATCATGTCGCCGACTCGAGAGGTCCCGGGTTCGAATCCCGGTGGGGGTAGATGTTTGTGTGATGAATATGAATGAGCATTTGTACTCCAGTCATGGATGTTTAATATGTATTTTTATTATAATTATACTTATGTATGTACTGTTTAAGTATTCTATCCGTTACCCTAGTATCCCATAACAGAAGCCTTACACTGCTTACTTTGGGGCTAGGCTAATTGTTGTGAGTGTTGGAAATATTTATTATTATTATTTATTTGTTACGTTCCGGAAATATAGATCGCTTACAGACGGACTGAGTGCGGACTGCGGAGCCTTAGACTACGTTGTTTGAAATTTCACGTCACTTCAAATACATGGTAAACGTGTAAAATATTGACAAATAGTTATTTATGAAGTAGAAGAAGAAAGAAAGAAAAACATTCATTGGTTCCACAGCATACATACATTGAAAACAAAACAGATTTGAAAGAACATAACAACAAAGAAAAAAAAACAAATAATAATAAACAAAAAACAACTAAACTGATTAGTTTAGTTGTTTTTTGTTTGCTTTAGATTTGCTGGTGTTGCTGTGCAGGGCCAACAGGTTGCTGTCTCAGCTATGCTATGCTATCTATCCTTACTAATATTATAAAGGCGAAAGTTTGTTTGGATGGATGTATGGATGGATGTTTGTTCCTCTTTCACGCAAAAACTACTAAACGGATTTTAATGAAACTTTACAGTAATGTAGCTTATAGATCAGAATAACACATAGGCTATAATTTATAAAGATATTGTGTGAATTGTCCAAAATATAACGATAAATGTCATTTAAGTCTGAAAAAATTCTGCAATCTGCGAGCTATTCAGGCGTGTGCTGCAAAAACAGTTAGTGCTACATGTATATAATGTATGGTGAAAATATTTATCTTAAATAGTCCTACAAAAAATTCTGCGACACCATATCTATCTTTTATGAGTAAGCCATTATTGTCAAAATAGTGAACCATAAATACAATAAAAATTGATAATTTATTTCTAATACGACCCAAAAATTATGTATGTTATAATTTTAATGTCATAATGTTAGTTCTTTTCACGCTAATATAAGCTACTCGAAATAATAATACTGCGCACACGAAGTCGCGGGCACCAGTTATTGATACATAAAGACCTTGCTTTTATTCGAATTACACGCAGACGAAGTCGCGGGCAAAAGCTAGTACTTATAATAAATCTGTAGAGATGTCAATTCTGTACATGAAATATATTTTAAAAATAACTATCAGGGGGTAATTAGTGATCGATACTGATGCCAAAAATGCAATCAGTAAATTTTTTGTCTGTCTGTCTGTCTGTGTGTATGTTCCTTATAGAAACAAAAACTACTCAACGGATTTTAACGAAACTTGGTACAATTATTCTTCATACTCCTGGGCAGGTTATAGTATACTTTTCATCACGCTACAATCAATAGGAGCAGAGTAGTGAAGGGAAATGTTGGAAAAACGGGAGAAGTTACTCCATTTTATAAGCTTCCGTCGCGGGTGCAGCCTTAATGGTTAAAGTTACATAGAAATCATGTATGACGGAAATATTCTACATAAAATTGTCTAAAAAATATCCCGCAACAGCATATGTCTATCTTTTATGGTTGACTCACAATAACACGTGTAATTATATAAATAAAGTCATTCTTTATAGCACAAGCCTGAGAACAAAAACTATAGTTTACACTACAGCTCTACACCGAAGCGAAGCGAGGGCGGGCCACTAGTAAGTAATAAATTCTTAAATGGAAAAATGTTATGAAATATATGACACGGAAATGCGTCACGAGCGTCACGCGTTGTGTGTGTGTGGGATGCGTGCGCAGTTCTTCCCGAAAAGCATGAAAGTTGGAGGGTATCTCGGCGAAGGCTGAAACGCTACGAACGTCACACGCGATAATATATATATTCCGTACCGTACCGTACCGTAATTAGCCTAACCCCAAAGTAAGCACTGTAAGGCTTGTGTTATGGGATGCTAGGGTAACGGATAGAATACATATACTGTACATGTATAATTATATTTATATAGAAATACATATTTAAACATCCATGACTGGAGTACAAATGCTCGTATTCATCACACAAACATCTGCCCCCACCGGGATTCGAACCCGGGACCTCTCGAGTCAGCGACACCATGAAACCCGGCGTACAAACCACTCGGCCGCGGAGGTCGTCAAAATATATATAAACTAGCAAACCAGTGAACCAAATGTTCACCAAAACCTGATTTAAAAAAAAAATGTATTTAATTAATTGAGAACTTCGGAGATTTTGTGTGGTTTCGTTTGAAATTCGTGATTTCTCGAAAACCGGAAGTGCTACGTTACTCAAATCCGGTTTGTAGTCTTATCAGACTATTCTTAACTTATAACTTAAATATTCTCTTTATATCTCTATCTCTTACGGTTTGGCCGCTGAAACAGCACCACAGACAGACGGACGGACGGACTTGTCTAATAGATAAGAGATATATAGATAGATTTACACTTTATTATAACACCAAATACATAATTACGTAACATTCACAAACAATAATATTAACAAAAGCGTTATAATTGGCGGTCTTATCGCTAATAGCGATTTCTTCCAGACAACCACTGAGTATGAAAAGTTATACAGAGACCATAGGTTGGGTTGTTAAATGGCTTGGAATAAATAGTC